AGGGAAAGACTTTTAGAAGGAAAGAAAAGGGAATAAAGAAGAAAACGGTTTGAGTCCCTTTCTATTATGCACTTACCCGCTAGGAATACAATTGGAAACAATCAAATTCCATTTATACGATTTACTGAATTTACGAATGGGAATTCTCATAAATTCAGTTACTAAAATGGTCATTTGCTCGAATCATATAATTAGTAGCTAAAACTTAAATCATGAGCGCATAAGGATGCATAATTAATTGAGAGGGAACAAAGTCAACTGTTAAGTTCAGGTTGACTTACCCTTTTCTAGTTCTCTTAATCATGTGGTCCCCGTCAAAATTGTACTATCAGTTATTCTACGTAAACTCATTAAATGGGTAAGGAATGGGAGACAGCCCCCTATTCTCTCACCATTCGTGCCAAGTTAACACGTATCAACTACACGTATAAACCTAGTGTGCAATTGGCTTGTAGGAAAATTTTCTCCTTTCTTGTAGGAATGAATACAGGTCGCACTGTCGCAGTAGGTGAAGGATTCTTGAGCGGCATTCACATAAAATGTGCATATCTGTGATGTGGCTTTAAATATTCTGTTACGTTATTGTCTTTTTCTCCCAAACCAATTCCATCTAAACTGGTAGTTGGCTACTTTCTTCTTGGATTTTCTTCATGGTAGTATTTTGCCATTTTGGTCCTTTGATGCTGCTTTGTTTGTTGACAAACAATTGCTGTATGTTATTTGCCAAAAATAAAAAGTAATAATGATAATAGTAACTTCGCTTTATTTTTCTGCGTAGAGTTTTATTTTTTCAGATAAATCATATTATTCATCAAAATTAGTGTCTTAAACTTAGAAAGTAAGGCTGTTTGAGAATAAATAGTTTGCGTCTTCTTTTCCTCTTGAATTCTTTATAGGAGCTATTAGCTAATATACTCTGAAGAAATTTGAGGAATATAGTTGTGGCTATTCCTATACAAACTTTAATGAATTATGACCATAATTACTCTGCAGGTTGGTTTGGCAAACATCTTGGAGCACATTGTGGAGACCCTAAAAGATCGATATGAAGTGTCGTACCTATTCTTGAAACCAGTGTCCAAAAAGGAAGCCCCTGATTACGTGGACATCATAGACCGCCCCATGGATTTGTCAACCATCAAGGAGAAGGTTAGGAAAATGGAGTACAGAAGCAGAGAACAATTCAGGCATGATGTGTGGCAGATCGCGTTTAATGCTCACAAATATAACGACGGACGGAACCCAGGTATACCTCCTCTGGCAGATCAGCTTTTGGAGCTTTGTGACTATATCTTGAATGAGAATGATGAAAGCTTAACCGCGGCTGAATCAGGCATTGAATCTAGGGATATTTAAAAAAGTATATTATTAATCATATGAATTAGATTCATTTTTTTCCCCGAGTGCCTCAGTTAGCTGGTGCCTCTTTTCTGTTTCTCTTACCTTTTTTTGACCTTAGCAAATGTTGAGGTTTAAGTAGAGTAGTTTGTTCTTCGCGTCTTGGCAGCTGGGAATTAAACTCAGTCTGTCATGTAAATTGCTGTATTCCTTCTGTATATTTGTTAATGTAAGTCTAAAGTTGTATTAAAAGGTCTAAATTGATTCAAAACGGGTGCTGTTGACCTTTCCCTTCTACCAAACCCAAGATTGGTCTTTTCAACAAGAGCAGCAAAATATCCCAAGTATAAGAAAAGTAATTAGGCTAAAGAGCAAAAACTCGTGATCTATTGTTTTCCGCTTAAAACGGTGTCATAACGATCTTTCTTCTTGAAAGCAAATCGGTAGTTGGTGCTTGAATTTAGACGTCGGCATTGACTAGGTTTGAATAAGCAAAGCTCTTTCTCCTTTCCCTTATGGTTGGGACATTTTTCATGTTATCGCCATACACGTTGTACGCATATTGTGCTAGAACCATTCAATCCAAAATAAAAAAATAAAAAAAAAAAAAAAAGTTTAAATTTGAGTAAGCATATCTTACAACCGGTTCGACCAGTAGATTTGAATAAAACGTTTAAAAGAAATAAATGTGTAGTTTAGAAACTTGACATCTGACAAAGTACATCAATGATCAAGCATGCATATGACTCTCAAGTCATTTACGATTTAGGGAAAAATCCGTTCTATCAAAATCGAGAAGCTTGTACCACAATGGTCACACCTAAACACCGCTAAGATACAAGCCTAACAAACAACTTGACATTAAGAAATAGCATAATAAACCAACAAAGCGTGGTAAAAAAAAACCACCATTATTGCAATAACAATACACACAAAAGTAAAAAAGATTGGCCCCAAGCACCACCATTAAATGACTCCGATGAGGAACCAGCCGACAAAAGAACCACCAAGGGAGACTGACTTTGAGAGACGTTATGAGGTTGAGACAATATATTGTCAAACTGCAATACGTGAAAAGCACGCACCATACCTGCTGCTGAAAACGAAAATGTGACCTCCATGAGAAGCTTATCGCCATGTGGAACCTAGGAAGGCTGGGCCACCAATCAACAAATGCGCAGAAAACAGAGGCCTACTGTTGACGGCTGAATTTCGTCAATAGAATTATGTTGGATTACCTCTTGGTACTCTGTTGGGTTACCGGCCTGAAATCGTTATAAATTTGGCTTAATGCTGCTAAAGTGCTTTTTGTAATGTGGTAATTTAAGAAGTGCGGAAGTGGTACTTGAATGAATGTAAAAGGCACACAAAATTTATAGTGGTTTACTCTGTTAATCAAGAGTTACATTGTATTGTATATCTTTTTCAATTTCGCCAACACCTACCTCCAAAACAAGCTCTATTCGCCTCAACGAAGGTGTCAATCCACACACAGCTGTTAGGACTTTTGTTAGTTGGCAATTTTTGTCAAAAAGTTATAACAACTATGGAGATTTTATCTCTGAAGTTTTGCACCAGATTTGGAATGTTTGACATCTCTTGGGTTGATTCTTTCTATAGAAGAAGGCAAGCTTTTTGAGAATGTAATTCCACAAGGTTGACTTTGGTTATGTGATTGGTTCTACTTTTTTGGAAAGTATTCTTTTGGGGATGTAATTGGTTGTATATGTTGTCATCGTGGAAAAAAGGAAAGAAGCAGTGAGGGTGGTTGATTTTGTGCATTTGGTGGGGTGAGTATTTTGGGGTGAGAGTGTGATGAACATGGATGGTTTTAAGGAGAATAGAACCTACAGAAAAGTAGTGTTTCTGTGATGTTTAATTGGTGATTGAACGATTTGACTTTTGGAAGAAACTTGCATTGCTTTCGGGAGAAAGCTTTCGAAGTTGAGTGGTGCTCGCTGGACAAAGCCACTAAGAGGATTCTACACAGCGACGACGACATCAAGGAGGGAGTCTTTGAGTGTGTAAGACCGATTGGTGATTGTAATTCTTTGAACTTAGTGGATTGTTCACTATCTGGGTGTGGCCCCGCAGATGTAGGTGTGCGCACCGAACTGCGATATCATTTTTGGTGTTCTTTCGTTCTTTTCTGCATTATTTTCTGTTTATGCACGTTTTTAATTCATTGTCCACTGATTATCTCTAAACGTGATAGTTGATTGCAAGTGTTGCTAAAAGTGTTGTAACACTCTTTGTAACACCTGCGTGAAAACATACTTAACAATTGGTATCAGATCAGTTCACTAACCGTTTGTTTGGTGAAGTTTTGGGATTTGGTTTGTATTGTCAGGGATGAACTTTTTGAAAGAAGGTGGCTTAATTTCGCGCCCTCCTCTCCTTGATGGTTCCAATTATGTCTATTGGAAAGCACGTATGAAGGCTTTTATCGAAGCTATTGATGAAAAGGCGTGGCGTGTCGTTCTAACTGGTTGGATACACCCCATCACCAAAGATGATGCTGGAAAAGAAGTATTAAAACCTGAAGAAAAGTAGTCTACGGAAGAAGATCGATTGGCCAATAACAACTCAAGAGCATTGAATGCTATTTTCAATGGAGTTGATACTCAATTCAAGTTCATTTCAACATGCGAATCCGCCAAGGATGCTTTGGAGATTTTACAAACGGCACATGAGGGTACGGCTTCCGTGAGACTGTCAAAGTTGCAAATTCTCACTACAAGGTTTGAGAATCTTCGTATGCTTGAGAATGAAACAGTTTCGGATTTCAATTCCAAATTGTGTGACATTGCTAATGAATCATTTGCTCTTGGTGAGAAAATTCCTGAGAAAAAACTAGTGAGGAAGGTATTAAGATCACTCCCTCAAAGGTTTGCTTACAAAGTGACAGCTATTAAGGAGGCCAAAGACGTGCGGCCAATGAAGCTTGACAAATTAATGGGCTCTTTGCGTACTTTCGAGATGAACCTGAATAAAAATAAGAAGGAGAATGAAAAAAACATTGCTTTTCAAGTTGAAGTTGAAGAAGTTGAGTCCGATGGTGAAAAAGACTTAACTGAGTCCATAGCACGATTATCGAAGAATTTCAACAAGGTGATGAAGAAGTTTAATAAGAAGAACAGAAATACAAGATATGCAACTCCAACAATTTTCAAAAGAATAAAGCTGCAACAAGTGATACTGATTTCAAGACAAAGAACAGAGGTATTCAATTTCGGGAGTGTGATGGATACGGGCACATTCAATCGTGCGCCAACACTCTAAAGATCAAGAAGAAGAAGTCTCTGAATGCAACGTCTAGTGATGAAGACTCTGAAGGCAGTCAGCAAGATGAAGACTATGTGAGTAACTACGTTGGTTTTAATGTTTATACTGATCAAGATGATGTTTCTGTCAGCAGTGTTGCAACACTGCCTGTAACAAATTCCGTGAACAGTGAAAACGAAGGAGATTTTTCAGATTCTGAAAGTAACAGTGATGGTAAGGAGTTGAATATTGATGTCATACAAGAATCCTATAAGACCATGTTCAACAAATGAGTTAAAATGTGTGAAATAAATAAGTCTCTACGGGAGCGCGTTGATGAGCTTGTCAAATAGAATGATGTGTTGAAGAGAGCTGCTGATAATTATGAATTCCTTGCTACAGAGAGAGAAAAGAAGCTGAAGGAAACAAATGCTGAATTGGAGAGCACTCATAAAAATTTGAAAATGATGAATTCTGGTACAAATAAACTGGAACATATTCTTTCATTGGGAAAATCAAGTGGTGATCGTTACGACATTGGATATACTAGTGAGAGCTCAACGTCCAAAACATTGTTTGTGAAGGAGACGCCTGTCCCTAAGCCTCCGACTATCCCTAATTAAAAGGTTATCATCTCACCCTTTTGACATAAAAGATTTGTTCTCATATGCCATTACTGTGGTTTACCTGGCCATATAAGACCGAGATGCTACAAGTATTTAAATGCTTTAAAAAGAGGTATGATAATTAATCTACCAAATTTCGCATTCTCAAGAAAGACACATAAAGTAAAGATTGATGTGCAAAATAAATTTCCTAGACGTGTGTGGGTAAGAAAATCAGATTTGAGGTGTCATAGAGTTTATACTTCTTTAGAAGCAAGTACTAATGATTGTGGGTGTAGTAATAGTGGTTGGTCTAAGAATTTGACAGGTGATAAGAACAAGATTCAGAGAGTGTTGAATTCAAGGAGAGTAAGACAAAGAGAAGATTCAGGAGGAGCGATTTGTAGAGATCAATGACCCTGAAAGATGATTTGCAGAAAAATGTTCTATCAGGTGTTACAACACTTTCAGCGACAACAGCTTCTAGAAGGTTTTTCTATTAGTATTATTTTTACTTTGGTTATTTTTTGTCAAAAAGGGAGAGATCTTGTGTCATATGTAATCAGTCAAAGAACAATTTGTTTTTTGAATTTCTTGTCATAGGTTCTTATGTTAGTTTTGCCAAAAATACCAAAGGGAGAGATTATTAGGACTTTTGTTAGTTGGCAATTTTTGGCAAAAGGTTGTAACAGCTATGGATATTCTATCTTTGGATTTTTGCACCAGATTTGGAATATTTAACATCTCTTGGGTTGATTCTTTCTATATAAAAAGGCAAGCTTTCTGAGAATGTAATTCCACAAGGTTGACTTTGGTTATGTGATTGGTTCTGTTTTTTTTTAAAAAGTATTCTTTTGGGGATGTAATTGGTTATATATGTGGTCATTGTGGAAAAAAAGGAAATAAACAGTGAGGGTGGCTGATTTTGTGCATTCAGTGGGGTGAGTATTTTAGGGTGAGAGTGTGATGAACGTGGATGGTTTTGAGGAGAATAGAGCCTGCAGAAAAGTAGTGTTTCTGTGATGCTTAATTGGTGATTGAACGATTTGGCTTTTGGAAGAAACTTGCATTGCTTTCAGGAGAAAGTTTTCGAAGTCGAGTGGCGCTCGCTGGACAAAGCCACTAAGAGGATTCTACACAGCGGCGACGACATCAAGGATGGAGTCTTTGAGTGTGTAAGACCGATTGGTGATTGTAATTCTTTGAACTTAGTGGATTGTTCACTGTCTGGGCGTGGCCCCGCATATGTAGGTGTGCGCACCGAACTGCGATATCATTTTTGGTGTTCTTTCGTTCTTTTCTGCATTATTTTCTGTTTATGCACATTTTTAATTCATTGTCCACTGATAATCTCTGAACGTGATACTTAATTGCAGGTGTTGTTAAGAGTGTTGTAACACTCTTTATAACACCTGCGTGAAAACAGACCTAACAACAGCCACCACCCCACAGAAGCTCACAAAAAGACATTTTTTCCTTCAAAGTTTTCATATCATATAATTCAAGGTTATCAAAATATCGTATCTTCAATTTTGGGTTTTATCACATTTATACCTTTAAATTTTAAATTTGTAAAAAATTCTTACACTTTCTCCGTTAGCACTCAATTTTGATAACAAAAAATATCTAAATGTTCTTAAAGGAAAAAAAATGATAAGGAACATAAAAAATAACAAAAACCTAAAAATTTTAGAATGCGAGGATATTTAGATCCCGTTCATTTCACCGATTCGAGTTTAAATTTTAATTTTGTTACAGTAAAAAGTTTTAGAAAACAGTTACATCTAATTTTTTTGCTACAGTAAAAGGCTCTCGCATAAAGTCACATCTCAACTCGAATTAAAAACTCAAATCAACGAACTAAATGAACCCTTAGTCTTTTCTTGACAAATCATTTTGTGACTAAAACAGATCAAGGATTTAACATGAATTTAAAATATTAAGGATAAATATTTAATAATACATAATATAAGAAATGATTTGTATTTTGTTGATAATCTTAAAATACAAGGTAAAAAAGTGGAAAAATAAACCTTTTTATAAAATATCTTCCTCTATTTTATGGTGGTCTTTTCCTAGCGCCTAAATGGTTGTTTTATTGTGTGTGTGTTTTTATTTTTTATTTTTTTAAACCTCAGGTGAGATATTATTGGTAACTTGAGAACTTATTTTGTACAAATTTATAAAATTTCCTCCTAGTTTTGGTTACTTTTTCACTTTTCCCCGAATTGAGAAAGCTATTTTTCATTGTTGTCAAACTTCAAACTTTAAAGTAAATTCGATGAGATTAGGGCCAGTAGGGGAGGGAGGTTGGTCCCTTCTAAAATACTTTTTCTTTTCTTTTTTTTTTCTTGAATAAAACACTTTTTCAGATAATCGTACTTATATAAAAATAAGCCTCATAAAAAGTGTAAAATTGATTCTTTTTGAACAACCCTCTTCATTACTATTCTAATAAACACATTTTTCCTCATTTTACCCATGTTGAGGTAGTTTTTTTTTTTTTTTTTTTTCAAATGATGAGTCCTTACATATTTAAGCAATTTTCTTTTCTTATGACACTCTCAACTACTGTTTTCTCATAAGTATTATTTACTTCTTAAATAAAATTTTATCTAATTTACCTGCTAAATTCTTTTATTATTCAAATATGTTTTACTTGTCTATACATATATGATATTCATCCAAAAGACATTTTGATTGAAATATGCATTTCTATCCATTTTACTTATATATATTGCTAAATTAATCTCTTAAGATAGTAATAATTTCAAAGAAAAAAAATACGCTTTTCAAAATTTTATTTGACGTATAAAAAATTTCATAAACTAATTAATATGCACGTGCGCAACAAATAGTTAATAGTATGTCAAAACAAATATATATATATATATATTTAAAATTATTAGGAGTTGATTTTCTTAGCGTTTTTAATATTTTTAATATTTTTAGTTTATACCCATTTAAAACAAAATTTTGACTGCGTCACTTATTAGGGCCACCACACCACTTATCTCTCAATTTAAAACAAAATCTTGACTGCGTCACTTATTAGGGCCACCACACCACTTACCTCTCATTTCGATTTGGGTGATCGGGATAAGTCTAGATATTAAGGGCTTGTCTTTTTTATGTTTCTAAGTTAGGTAATTTGAATATAGATTTTGAGTTGAGTTTGAGTTATAACTTGCGTTGAAGTTGTAATTTGAGTTTGTGTTTGGTTGTGTACATTTGAGTTATGATTTGAGATAAGAATCTTTCTGAGTTTGTATTTAAGTGAGTCAAAACTTGAATTTGTATTTAGATAGTATTTTAATAAAAACTCAATGCTGATGAAAAATTTTAATAGGGTATATGGGTCGAGTTTTATTCGTCTTTTCGTTGTCAACGCATAGAAAAAAAATCATCTCAATCAGAATTAAAACGAAAAAGTTATAACATTTCTAAGAATAGAAAAAATACTGTTCATTAATTTGAGTTCGAGTTTCTGAACTCGAGTTGAAGGGAAAACTTGAACTCGAGTTTTAGTCCCAAACTCGAGTTCAAACTTAAAAGAACATGAACTCGAATAAAGTTGTAACTCGAGTTGCTTTTATTGAGTTTTCCACTCAAAAATACCCCAGCCAAACAGCCTCTTAGCTTCTCTTTTTGAAAACTCATAACATGCCTAACAACCGATAATTGCCGTTGCATGCATAGCTTAGCCATAAGTTTACTGAGGTTAGAGTCTAAAAAAAGTGAGTTAATTTCAAATTTAATCCTTGAAAAATAGAGGTTATTTCACTTTATTTTTATAACTTAAAATGGCACAAAATTGACCCTCTAATACTATTTTTTTAAAAATAAAACAAAAAATCTAAGCACATTAAAATCATGTGACTAGACAAAGGGTTATATAGTAAATTTAAACAAAATATACTTTAAAATTTCAAAATTTTGTAAAAAAATCTAAGCACATGAAAATCTAAGGGGATGTTTGTTTCTTGTATTCGTTTCTAATTCTGAATCATGATTCATGATTCTCTACAATGTTTTTCTCTCACAAAAAACACACGTAAAATGATAATGGTTTAAATCATGGTTCTGAATTCATAAACCAAACGTCCACTAAGTGTTTTCTTTTCTTTCGCTTGCAACCACAGATCACTATTGCTCTTCCATATTTTCTTTTACCAACTAGTCATGTGACCCACGTGTAATTAAAATTCTAAAAACATTGACATTTTATTGACAAAAGTATCAAAGTGTCAATACATGAGAAGTTTAAGAACTAATTTTGTGACATTTTAAATGTATAGGACAAAGTAAAACAACCCCTATTTTTTGGGGCAAAAACTGAAATTAAACAAAAAATAAATGGGCCTTTTTGCATGAGAGCCCCCTAATTTTTCGCGTTTGGCGGATTGGTCTCTGATCTTTAATTCTTGGCAATTGACCCCTTAAATTTTAAAGTTATTGCATTGGTGGTCCAATTGAAAACCGAGTTAAAAAAATTTAACGGAATAATAGCATGCCCTTCACGTGCACCACTTGTCAAGGGCAAAATTGAACATTTACAAATAAATAATACATCTTTTAATCTTTTTAAGAAAAAAAGGGCAAAACTTAAAACTCATCAGAGGGGATGTCGAGTTGCTGTTGCCGATGGGGTAGATGGTTACCCATCATGGCGTTGCTGTGGTGAACATCAGCGACATTAACAAAACTACAAAAGTCCTTGCTCTAAGGTTCAAACCACAATAGTTAACTCTCTTTTCATTTTTTAGAGGTAATGAACTTGCTTTTCTGACAACAAATAATCAATATAATTATAAAAATTTAAACCCGTTCACTTTATCAATTTAAATTTTATTACGATAAATTTTTTTTTAAAAATAATCACATTTAATTTTTATATTATAATAAAAAATTATCACATAAAATTATATTTAAATTTAAATTTAAAACTCAAATTAACGAACTAAACCACCTTAATAAATTTTCATATTTGGTCAAAATTTTGGAAAATGCATACAGGTCCAGACTTTGGAGGTTAAAGGGCTTTTTTTTTCCTCCGTTTTTTTTTCTTTTTTCTTTTAGAGGGGACGAGCTAGCCAGATTTGTGGGGATGGTTGCGACGCTGACGCCGAAAGGAGGCGCTATGACTTCAGCAAGGATACGAACCTATAACGGGCACCACTAGCTCTAGATCTCGACTTCGATGCGCCGAACCTTCGCTGCAAGATCTCGTCGTCCTCACACCCACTCACCCAGCAAATTTCAGTGTCACAATTACGCTAGATCTCGCTGTCTCAGCGGCCTCCTCCCACTACAAATCTCGGCATCATCGTCGCCGTCGCCATCATGCCCACTCCTCAGCCAAACTACGATGTTGCAACGGCTTGCTCCCATTCCAAATCGCGATGTCCTCGTCGTTGCACCCACTTCCTCGCCAAACTCCAACGTCGCTCGCTGTGCCTCCTCCCCCTCCAAATCCCGACTTCACCGCACCCTCTTCCCCCTCCCCAAAAACATCTCATCGAACTGCAAAATAAAGATGAAGAATACCTTTTGATTTGTGGGCTTTTGTCATTTATGTTTTTTTTTTTTTTAATTTTTCCTTTGGTTTATTCCCAACTAGAAAATAAAGACCAAACATGCCCATAAGAGAAGGCTCACGTGCAGACCACCTGGTTAAAAGTATTTAATAGATGTTACTGAAAGGACCACTAATGCAACCATTTTAAATTCAAGAGGTTAATTGCCAAGAATTAAAGTTCAGAGATTAATCTGATAAACACGAAAAGTTTAAGGGGGTATCATGCAAAAAAGCCAAAAAACTGAAAAAGCGTAAAAGGATGAGTGTATTTTGGGAAGTTTACAACAAACGCCTTTTTTTTTTTCAGAAGGAAAATTCAAAACCCTAAGCAACACCCATATTCAGAGGCAAAATCAAGAGCAGGAAAAAGAGACAATGGGAATTGAGAAGGAAGTTTTGAGGCCTGGTACCGGTCCCAAACCGGTAGCCGGTCGTAAGGTCACCGTCCACTGCACTGGTTATGGTTAGCCACTCACACTCTCTTCATTCGCTCTCACTCTTTAACGACGTCGTTCTGGATTTCCCCTTCTGAAAATTCATACTTTTTTGTTTATCGAGTAAAACTGTGAATTTTATCCTTTTTAATGGATTTTTTTTTTGGATATACGACATTTTTATTTTTAATTTTTTTTTAATTTTTAAAGATTGTTATGCTGAGAAATAAAGTTGAAAACTTGATGACGACTATGATGAATAATGTTAATTTTCCGTAGTATATTCTGAACTATTTTTATATCTGTGAGCAATAATACATAATTTTTCTAAATTTTTTTAATTTTGATGGAGATACAAATTGTATAGTCTAGTTTTGTGCCTTTGGTGGGTTGCTTTCCATATTAAATTTTGAAGTTTCTTTGCAATGAAATAAATACTACCTAAAAGTCTCTAATGATTTTGTAGTATATGGAGATAAATATGAACTGGCCAATCACCAATGCGATTTTTTATGAGAAAAACAAACCCTTTATAAGAAAATCCCTGAATTTAATTTTTTATATTGTTATAAAAACTTCTATGCAATTTGAATGTGAATTGAGCATAAATTTGATGTTCTTTGCCACAGGGAAAAATGGTGATCTATCTAAGAAGTTTTGGAGGTAAGTAAGAATGGTTGTTTTATGTTTTCATAGAAGGAATGCTTTTGAGTCTCATATATCTTCTTGCCTTCCTTTTATTAAGATTTTGAGCTGTTATTACATTTTTATTTTTATTTTTGTTGTTTTAGCACAAAAGATCCCGGGCAGCAACCGTTCACGTTCAATATTGGTCAAGGTTCTGTTATAAAAGGTAATTGTGGTGCAGAACCTGGGGAACTAGGAATACTGCTTGAAAAATTGATATATATATATATATGTATGTATATATGTATATATAATTTTGTTTTTTTGGTGATTTACAACGAATCTCCATGGTGTTGTAAACTAAAATAATAATTGGCTTGGAGAGAATTTTCTAAGCTTCCTGCTTTCAGGAAAGTTAAGTTTTCCATTTATTCATGTTGTGTTGCGTGGAGAGCTTGAAAGAATTCAAGTTGTCAATGCCATAAGATACCAAAAGTTTTTAGTTAGAAAATCAATGTACTCTGAATAGTCTTGGATCTTGTGAGCTGATGATCGATTTAGATAATTCGATTGGTTTACTTGGATAGGGTTAGGTTATTATAACGAATGTATGTTAATTTTACATATTTTATATACATGTATTATCTATCATATTTGAGTTTTCATGCATACTTTTGTTGTTAGTGCTTGTAATATTCTGCTCTGTTCATTGCATTTTTATGCGGAAATCGCAAGAAAAAGAAATCGTTGTGAGACATCTTGCATCAGCTTTATTGTTGGTGCAGTTAAAGTGCTGCTATATTGTTCTGCTTTTATCCGGCAGTACACAAATAAAATCCACAGTGAATATGCAGTCTGTTGTTTTTCCAAACCATATTATTCCTTTTGATGTTTTTGGCTTCCCTTATCTTTTTAACCAATTGTAGGATGGGATGAAGGTGTGATGGGAATGCAAGTGGGAGAAGTTGCTCGTCTTCGGGTAATATTCAATTCTGCTATTTTATCTTTTCCGAGGATCTTTTTGCGATGTGTCAAATATGTTTTATAAGTAGGGTCGTGCTAGGAAGTATTTAGGACAATATGGCGTTTTCCTTTCTAATTTGAATGTATTTCGGAAAGAACAATGCTAGGATCGCAAGTTGCTTATCAATTTCCATGTACCAAATGATGTGATTCGCGAATTGTCATTTTTTTATTGATGAAAAACTAACGACTCATGTGGAATTCGTAGCATTTCCCTTTTGGAAATATTAAACAGGATTATCAAAGTCGACCTTTAAAATCTGTGTTCTCCTGTCCTCATTTCACAGTGTTCTCCGGATTACGCTTATGGACCAAGTGGATTTCCTGCATGGGGCATACAGCCTAATTCGGTTTTGGTTTTTGAGATTGAAGTCCTTAGCGTGGAGTAACACCGTGCGAGTTGGCATCGGACGGTGAGAAATCCATAAAGAATTATCACCTTGAACGCAACTTGCTTTAGACATAAATATGCTATATTTGAAGGCATAATAAGTACTTTTAAGCAAGTATTTTCCTGTGTCAATGTGTCAACTATTTCCTCAGCTTGTTCTAGACTGGGTAGACTTCTACTATTAATGAAATCGTTACTCAGGTATATCATGTTGTCATGACTTGTTCAACGGGTTTAGGGATTGGTTCTGAGCTGAAATGGTATCATACTATCATATTTTCGTGGCCGGAAATTTTTTTCTTGAAAACTTTTAGGGAATTTATGCAAGTTATATTATAAGTTTTGTGTGGGACAAAGAAATATTTTGGTGGCGTTTAGTTTGATATCATGAAATTAATATGTAAATAAGACCAAAATTATAATTATTCTAAAAGAAAAGAATAAAATATAATGAAATAAATATAAGCGAAATGGGTGATATATTTAACTCAACGCACAGTAGAGCGTTAGAATTAACAACAGAATTGTAATTGTTATGTTTGGTTTGTTAGAATGGGGTAATAACGAGGTTTGAAAAAAAAAAATCTCCTTGTTTAATTTGCGTTTTACAACATCATAGTTTAAAAGAATAATTTATGGTAAATTTTAGAATATCAGGAGGGATAATTTGGAGTAAAAGAGTCTTGCCCGTTCACTTCGCTGATTCGAGTTTAGAATTCGAGTTTTGCTACAGTAAAAAGCTCTCACAAACAATCACATTTAATTTTTTTGTTACAGTAAAAAGCTCTCACATAAAGTCACATGTCAATTCGAATTCTAAACTCGAATCAGCGAAGTGAACGGTTGATAACAAATTTAGGATGAAATTCCCTTAAAAAAAAAAAAAAGAATGGAATGATTATTTTATTGATCCATTTTGAATGTTCATATACTGTATCGACCAGAGATTACGTTGTGGAAAGAAGTCAAAATAGTGGCAACCGAGCAAGGCTGGGAATGAGTTCAGCCGTTTGCAAGCATTGCCATTCTTCCCCGGCCACAGCAAATGGGAAGACTGTTGGCTGTTTCCGAGCATCGCCGTTCTTCTCAAAAAAAAATTGCAATTTTCCTCGTGTTTTAAAAGTTGCGCATTTTTTTTTTCGGGTCAAAACCATGCTATTTCTTACCATTTCCCTTTTCTTCTTCTTTCCAACTAGGCCTGACCTGCTCATAATCTGATTGCAAATCGTCTATCATACACAAATGGAGGTTTCAATTTCCATGGCTTCCAAACCACCATTTCTCAAACCGAACCGACGATCCGAAACGACCAAACTGCCCGCCTCGTCACCTCTGTGTCTTAGCTGAAACAATATTTTTTTCCTACCTGATTAACAAGTCATTTATGATGATAAACAGAATGACAACAAATAATTATGGGCCTCTGCTGCCTATCTTGGTAGATCTTTGGTAGATTGCTAATTTGATTTATGGAGCTGACATTACTGAAATCATATAAGCTTTAAAAACTATGTCACGTTTTTTTTTCATTAAATAAATCCAGTATAGGTTTTCTATTTTAGTGGATCTACATTTTCAGATTTTCCGGACGGGTGGCAAGTCTTCAACTTGTAGACACATAAAAAAATATAAGAGAAAATTGATGAACTCACTATTTAAATGCATTGATATAAGATTTTTACTCTTTATTTTTAATTAATACTAATTTAACTAATATAATTTTTTAATTAAATGGTTTTAATCAAGTTTAAAGAATCAAAATTCAAGACTTATATGGTTGGCCCGTCTACCGCATGGGTGATATCTTTACTGAGGTTTTGCCTACCTCCCCTAGTAGGTGGGAGGGTAGGCAAGAATTCACAATAATCATTACATTGGGAAAAATGCTTGGAGGCATAGAGAGTAGGTGTGCCCGAATTGTAGGCCCCATAATATGAGATCTATCCTTTATTAATGGATAGTGCTCGGTACCAATTTCAACATTAATCCTTTTGCTCCACAATTAGTGAATTAGTCTTGCACTAACCAACTGAGTTGCTATATTCTGTCTTCCTCGATGGCTTACAGTTTCTACATGGTGTGATTGTATTTCTTAATTAAAATATAGGACCGATTTTATACAGAGAACAACAACATAAAGAATGTTTTACGGGCATGCTTGTTTAATCGTATTAAAGTACCGTATTATATAATAATATAATAATATAATGTTTGGTGCGACCATCGTATTGTATAAATTAATACAAATGATAAATTAATACGGCATATGTCGTATTATTAAATACGGCTCATTTTTTTGCGTATTATATTGTATTATTTTATAGTGGATCAATAATCTATGTCAGGATTGGTTACGACTAGAGGTCGAGGTCGGACTGACATAGAGTGATTGTTGGAGCCTATAATTGTTGAAAAATTTAGGGGACACAATGCAAATTTTATATTTATTAAAAATTACATTTTGACCAATTTTTTTTATAAAATTTCATTTTGACCCCAAAATTATTAAAATTTTACATTTTAACTCCTTATACAATACGTCATGACACCAAACACTGTATTTTATTATGATAATACAACACAATATAATATATCTTATATAATACAATACAAGCTACCAAACATGTCCTATATGTATTAGGAACGTCTTTTTTATTGTTTTTTTTTTTTTTTCAAAAAGAAGAAGGCAATAAATTCCATAACCTTTGGTTATCAAATTGTCCCATTAACTACTACTCGTTTCATTTTGACCAATTTTTTTTTATAAAATTTCATTTTGACCTCAAAATTATTAAAATTTTACATTTTAACTCGTTATACAATACGTCATGACACCAAACACTGTATTTTATTATGATAATACAACACAATATAATATATCTTATACAATACAATACAAGCTACCAAACATGACCTATATGTATTAGGAACGTCTTTTTTATTGTTTTTTTTTTTTTTTCAAAAAGAAGAAGGCAATAAATTCCATAACCTTTGGTTATCAAATTGTCCCATTAACTACTACTCGTTTCCTTTATTGAACACAAAAATTGTATTTAATATCTGAATTAATTGATTTAAACAAAGTTTGGTATTATTTTATACAACAAAAATTTTTAAAGTGGCATTATTACTGATTTCATCATTGTTTAGTCATATACATGATTAGAGGGAATCCCTGAATTTCAGCATTCTACCCCTCAAATCTAGATTTGGAGTGGTTTGGAATATATTTTGGTGCCACCTAAAGAACAGACCTTATGATACTCAAGATTATACATATTTTTTATTTGGGTTATATGAGATGCTTGTTTCCTCTGCTCAAAACAGCATGCATGATATTTCCTTGTTCATTGTCGTTTTTTGTTATGTAATTAATACCAAAACTATTTCTCCACACCTACACAAAAAAGCGAACCCTATACACATACGATAATTTCAGTTTTACTGTAACATACAATATCGTGTCAGTGCAGTGTAACTCTATCGTAAGTATGAGCAGTAAAATGAAGGTAGAAAATAAAAAGAGCGTAAAAATTTATAACGATTCACGGTCAATATCAATGTGAGAGCTATATCTACTGTGGAGTTGAGAATTTTATTGTAAAGAGTTTAAGGACTCGTTTAGTTCACTGATTCGAGTTGAGAAGTGATTTTTATTGTAGCAAAAAAGTTAAATGTAACTGTTTCTGAAAGCTTTTTACTGTAGTAAAATTTGAATTCTAAACTCGAATCGGTGAAATGAGCGGGGCCTAAATATAGAAGGTGCTTTGGGATAAAATATAGAAAACTAACAACTAGAGTTTCTCTATGGTACCGAAAAGAAATACTAGCTTGTGGTTAGCCTAATACTTATCTTCCGTAATTTGAATTTGAAAGTTGACTTGACAAACTTGGCAGTCACAACTCACAAGTATAGTAAAGATTATCGTGATTATTGATCACATAACGTTGCTAGAATATTATGTTGAGATAGGTATCTTGAAAGCGTATTTTTAATCCATCTTTGACATTTTATGAAATATAGTTTTTACATATTCATCTATATATAAATAATTAGTCTGATAATGTGCACATTATTATTTAATACATAAATATCATAAAATTCTGTAACTATAATATAAATTCTTCAGTTATATACCTAAAGTGTTCATACGAGGAAGATATGACTTCAAAGGATATATATAGTTCAAATTAATGATTCATAATCAGTAAATAAAGTTATCACAGTTAACGTGCACTTATTTAATATAATTATATAGGTAGTTGAGAACATTATTTGTAGACATATGTTATATATATATATATATATATATATATATTTTTTGTCACACGGGGATCATATATTGGAATTATGATTGTTGTTAATCACCATAAGCGTGCAAAATATTGTTGAAGCTTTTTGCACGAGATGACTCAAGAATGCATGCAGTAAATATACGATTCCTTTCATATATAGTACCCTTATATATGTTATTGCATTCTTGTGCGGTGCATATACCCAGGGCCCCACTCAACCTTAGTAACTCTAATATTAGAGTGGTAATGAGTAGAATTTTTGCTTGAAAATAGGAATGAGTAGACTAGATTGTTAATAAGTGAATGGCACATGTAATGTCTAAATTTCAAGGTTTGTTGTTATTATTGTTAATTATGGTTATCATTTACAACCTCCCTAACTCGTCCAATCCAAACCAATTTGCACCTTAATTTCAAACAAGTTAGATGAGACATATTTATCAAATTATCAACTGGCTGGGTCTTGATAGGCCTGAATTATATGTCACCTTAATTTGTTATCATGACTGTAATTATCCTTGTTATATCATGCATGATTATTGTTCTTCAGAATTATTAATGTGCTAATTAATTAGTCAAGTTTTTATAGCTGCAGGCTTATCTTTAATGACGAGCACATTGACATTGAGTTAAAAAAGCTGCATTCCCCTTAATTTTAGATGGTATATAAAGAATTAGAAAAGGGATGGGAAATAATTTGTGTTGTGAATTTCACAATTCTTTATTAATTGCAGAAAAATGATGGATTAATGTCTAAAGTAACACTTTCTTATTACACCTATAACACAGATATTACTTTACTTTCACCACTCATATTAGAGTTATTTTTACAAATATCTCGTTCATTTCACTGATTCGAGCTTAGAATTCGAGTTTTGTTACAGTAAAAAGCTCTCAGAAACAGTCAC